GGGACTGCCGTTAGCCGTCGTCAATCGCGGTCCGTGCCCCCCACGGGCGACGTCTTCACTCAACGCTGGAACTACGCTCCGTTGAGCGCCCGTGTCACACAGAAACAAGCTCCCCGAAACGCTGTCGCTGACGAAGAGGAGCCTGCACGTCAAGGGCGCCGGAAGCGGGGGGGCCAGGGGGCCATTGGCCCCCCCACTTTACGGCCCTGCCCCACATTTTTGCAGCAGCGGATGCCGCGGAACCCTGTACACATCCCGTTTCAATAATTCCCCTCTACTCTAAAGTCGCATCTAAAAAGAACGCCATCTGATCTAGCTGTGTATATTTTGTTATTGTTGATTGTTATATTCAATCTCATTAGCTACAGGCATTTTTGAAGCTTGTAAAGGGAAGAACACAGCTGGCCTCTCACTCGCCACTCTGCTCTTCTACAGCGCCGCTTCGCCTCCCTCCGCTGACATTATGAATGTAAGGCATAGTAATCATAGATAACACCGCAGGGTCCGTTACAGTTTGTTTTCATCTGATTTCAAATAAACAAAGTCTTGGCTTTCAGAATATTAAACTTGTTTCGGCAAATTCAGATGATAAATACAGCTTTGAAGCTTTTAACGGCATAATTACAAGCGGAGAACGGAGTAATTTGACGTCACAGCAAGCATAACAACAGCCGGTGTTTCTCCTGAAAGTTTTCCCCGGGAAACAAACGCAAAAATACACAAACACACACACGTGGTATACACGCACACATTCGCGAGCTCCCCCCAGACCAGTAATCCAAACGAAAATATCTTCCCTCCGTACTACTTTGATCATTTGCTCCGCTAATAATCAATCAGATCGATCCAGAGAAGAGGAAACTTTAAGGCCTTTTTCTCAAAAATGATGACTCGGTGACAGTCATTATATAATGTGACATATTTTGCTTAATATAGTACAAAAACAATCCTGATATCATTAGAAAGCTAGGAATCTCCTCTTTCCAACAGTGTATACAACTCAAAATGTGTCTTCGGATCAATGCGACTGATTTCGATGGAGCAGGTCACTTTGCATTAGGTAAAATACAGCAGGCAGACATAACAGGAAGAATATGTACATTTTAATCCAATCAAATAGTACATTGTCACACCATTCAAATGATCCATGTACATTACAACCAATAACAAAGCTTAGATGTGTTTATTTGTTACGTTGTTTACGTTATGTGTTACGTTGTTCAGTGTGTGTCAGCCGTTAAAGATACACTTGCAAACATGTCAGAAGAACCGGCGCATAAGAAAACAAAATACAGTCAAACAAAGCTGAAATTCAACAACTTGAATGTCACATCCCTGACATCCACAACTCCGGAGCCTGGTCCTTCAACCATAGAACCAGCGCAGCCAGATGAACCCCAGCAGCAGCTCTGCGGCCGCAGAGGCGGTCAAAACCGCCGCCGCCGGCATCGTTGAACCGAAACAAGCTGGTTCCGACTGCATGGAGGTTTGTTGTCGGGACATTGTGACGGGCCAATAAAAGCTTATTTGGGCAAAGAGAAGGTACTTCAATGCAGAATGGTACAAAAACAGAGAGTGGTTAATTATTTGCAAAACCACTAAACGAGCCTTCTGTGAAATATGCAGATGTGCTACTGTCAAACGGCTTGTAACTTTCTCCAAATGTGGAGATGACAGCTTTGTAAATACCGAGTTAATAACTGGAACTTTTCACAGAGCTTAATTCAGTCAAACACCAGTCAACATTCAGCTTGTCAAACAAGAGCGTATAGCAGGAAAAAAGAAGAGATGGAATGAGCAACTGCGCTGTCATATGTGTGGGCTGGTCTGTATAGTTTAATGTACAGGAAAGGAGTGAGCAGAGGGTTGAGTTGTCCATTCTTGTTCTGTTTTCTCTGACTATCTTCCTCCTGAAGACCCTCTCAGACTTTCATTTGCTCGCGCTACTAAAGAGACACGTTACCATGGAAACCAAACAATGGTGTAGCTGTATTGAAGTCCGAGTGGAAACAGTAACATTTGGTGCGTTATGTTAGAATGAAACAAATCAGATTTAGTCAGAAATCGGGAGAAATGCGGGATAAATATGACCCCGGGAGGAAAACGGAAGTCTCCCGCGAAAATCGTGAGGGTTGGCAAGTAGGCTATGTCACATACACACGCACTTTTTGCCCCCCCCCCACTTCTGAAATGAATCCGGCGCCGCTGCTGCACGTGCCGCCGACGCTCAGAGCCACTACTGAGCGCCGGCCCCTCCGTTTCCCGGGGGTTTGTAGCTGCACGGAGCGATGCATCTCTTCGCCCTTGTCCCGAAACGTGCGTGGTAAACGCACTCTCCGGCGTCTCCACGCCGGCTAGCCACAGCCGTGTCCGGCCTCCGCCACGCTTTCTTGACTGCCGGTGGGCCGCTGAGCGTCGCGGCTAACGTCTCTGCGCCGGGCTGTTGCGTAGCCAGGAAAAAACGATCCGCTTCCTCAGCCAAAGCACGGGGCTCCGTGACAGGCGTGTTGGCCAGCGCCGTCTGTACCCGGGGAGGCAAGTGACGCAGGAAAATCTCCGTGAATAAAATCCGGGGATCTTCCCCCCCTGGCAGATTTAGCATTTTCTCCATTAGCTGGGATGGCTTGCTGTCTCCTAGGCCTTGAATGTCAAGTATCTGGCGGGCCCTCTCCTTAGCAGATAAGCTAAATGTCTTAAGGAGAAGAGCCTTAATCGCCTCATATTTGCCATGATGTGGGGGGGCTGCGATGAATCCCACCAACCTGGACGACGTGGAGCTCCCCAGCGCTGCTACCACATGGTAGTATTTTAGGTCCCCGTCACGGACCTGTCGGCAGGCGAAATGTGCCTCCACGTGTGCGAACCATGCCTCCGCGGCGTGCTCCCAGAATTCCGGCAGCTTTATGAAAACATCGCGCTCAGCCATGTTCGTTAATTTTCCGGAAACTTTCTCGGAAAAGTCAGGGTCACCAGTGTAGTGCCGTGAAAAGAGAGTCGGAGGCGGTGTATTAAGAATGGAGTTCTTTATTATCCATTACTTTCAGAGAGGTTAACACATGCACTGCTCTGCCTGATGAGCTAGCAGGAATGGCAGCTAAAGCTACAGGTGTTCCCCACTAAAGGGTCCGTGTGGCAACACAATAAGCAAGGTGAATTATGTCCAATAACGTGTCACCACAATATACAATTTCAGAATCAAACAGAGCACTCTCATAATAACGTAACAATATCAGAGACTGGATAGACACCCCCCCCCCCGAAAGCAGTTAATAAAATAATATCCAGAGGACGCATGCAGAGCTGTCATTGGCTGAGATAAGTCCGGCCGTGCGTCACGACTCTTTGAAACATCTCTGTTCCCGGAAATGCATCCACGAAGGAGCCGTGGAGGACCCATCAGTGTATCCTCGGTTATAGCTCATCCAGAGAGCCTCCTCGATGCTCGATCCTCGGTCCTGGAAGTGCATTTAGAGAAATGAGATGTCCTTCAACATGGCGCACTGAAATTCATTTCCGGGTCACTACCAGAGGACCGAGGAGTCGAGGAGGGGGATTTGATGAAATGAGAAAGGGCACTGGAGGAAAAATGGTTATTAAAAAAAAAAAAGATACAAAAAAAAAAAAAATCATATTTTGAAAAATTATTGATTCGAAAATAATATGATACAGTACTATTACGTCTGTGTCTCTGTGTTTCATTAAAGCTCGGCTCTGTGTGTGTGGAACGAGCCATTTGTGTGCGTGCGCGAGAGAGAAAGATAGCGCACCGGTACCGGAGATCGTTGATGTTAGCTTCTGGTGCTAGCGAGCTACGCTAACGGGGAGTTTTTTTAACAACAAAGTGGAGGAGAGTCCTCTCCTGTCAGACTGAGAGACTCAGTGAGCTAAAGGACTCTCTCAGTGTTATCTCAGTGGGTCTCAAACGTTTTGGTCACCATTAATGTAAACAATTATTTCCGAGGCACACGTTTATATGATCATTATAGTTATATAAAATAAGAGAATAAATTAAAAACAGGTATGAAATACTATATGACATAAAAAAATTAATAAAGTTTAAAAGGGGAGTGATTTGTAAAATATCCATAAAGAAATAGTAAATCTGTTTACAGTTCTGTTTTGAGAGATGTATCCATAGATCTCTTCATTTTGCTCTCAAAGTGCACCAGATTGATTGATTCAATATTTAAAAAGAGCTTGCCCCCGGACCCCCCTATGTGAGGTCCACACACCACCTATAACAATAGCACTTTACCCCTGCTTACACCTATATGCCGTGAGCTGATTATCGAGCCTTCATTGTAACAGTCGCGGGAACATTGTGTATATGCGTTGGGAGTGTTGCAGTAGAAAATTCCACTGTAGCGCCCGGTACATTAATGGGAAACCCTAAATGTTTGAGCACCCTCTATGAAACGTCAAGCTACCCCACAGCACCCCCAAAATAAATATCTGGCGCCGCCACGGAGCCTGACTATTTGTGTTGGGGGGGCCCGACTTTTTTTTTTCTCCAAAGGGGGGGCCTGACAGAAAAAGTTTGAGAACCACTGGGCTATGGTGAGATTGCAAGGATAGATATATTTGGCACATAACATTTGTTAACAAAAACTATTCTTCTTTAATGGCTTACAGATCACTTGAATTAAGCAACATATAAATAAAAAGCAAGTCACGATCAACAGAGAACTTACAATATGTTTGCATATCAATCATCTACTGGAAAGAAAACTAAACTGATGTATAAGACAGGAAGAGCACGAAGCACATTTAAAAATATTGAGTCAACAAACGCAGACACATTGATTTAATCAACTAGGTCACTGAGTGAACACAGAACTGACAACTACCTGTTTTGCATCTGGTTTGACAGAGGAAAGAGGGAGGAAATAAGCAGGGCAGCAGTCATTCTCGACATGTCATGACAACTGATCCTTTTTTTGGTCATGCAGAAAGTGAGTGTGCAGCTCTGGAAAATTATGTTATGACATTTGAAATCCCAATGTTTCAGTTGCAATTTATTGAAAAAATTCAAGCACACAAATAGGAGGGTGCACATTTACTTGCACTGTGCACAATGTTTTAGAATGAATGCGACTGCCGAAAATGTCTTGTAAAACTCAAAAGGACATTTTATTTGCAGGAAGAGAAAAGAGGTCCTGGAAAAGTAAATGTACTTTAAATATTTACAGCACTTGTTAACATAACATATCCCAAACACATTCTCTGTAGTTTAAATCCCCTTCAGTCCCAGGGTGCTTTTTTGTGAACAAATAGGACTGGATGTAGCCAAACGCTTTTTTACTTTTTATGTCCCAGCCGAACTAAAACTTAAAGAAAAATCGCAATCATTTGATTCCTCAACATCTGTTTAAACCATATACATTAGATTATACGACACACAGTTGAATTAAGGGTTGATTCCTTTTCCATCATCAACTTAGGGCTCTCAGTTTCCATGCAAACAGGTGTCCCGAAAGTCAGGGTGATCATCACAGAACCCCTTCACCCTGCGGGCCACTAATGGTTGTGCTGCTCTTCTCTGGTTTCACCAAAGCAACATATCAGCTGATAAAGTCCATCTGCCACAGCAAAACTACTGATATCCATCCTTCAAGCCCACACAAGTACTTTCATATAACTCTTATACACAGAACATAAACTAGAACTGCTGAGACCGGGGAAACTGCCTTCAAACTGAGGTCTTTGTTCCCTTTTTTGTGATTATGAACCCCTGTAGAAATGCTGGCAGTCACTCCATGTAGTCAAAATCCTCTGGGATCCCAAAGGCTTTGTTCATGCGGCTGTCATCAAAGTTGAACTTCTTCTTCGTCCATGACTTGATGGCAAAAACATTGTCTGAAAACAAAAATAAAATCTTACTACAATGAGCTGAGAATATACTGTGGGTATTGTCCACAGTATTGATGTATTACATGTGTAATATATGTAATATAATGTAATGTAAAGCGCTTTGAGCACTTGGAAACGCTCTTAAATAAATGCCATGAATTATTATTATTACTGATGCAATGGCCCTTCCAGTTTTTTACATAGTATGTTAGATAGTTTGAATTATAATTAGATTACTGGATGGAGAATGATGGTCGAGTCCAAGAACAAACCATCTGTAGCACTAACTCTATGCTGTTTTGATAAAGGTTGAGGTATTTTGGCTGAAATGTTGATTAATACCGTCTGAACACTTCTGAAGACATTGTTTTCCAGGTTATTTTGGTAATTACAGAAGAATGAATGTGGTTGAAGCTGTTAACGAGAGAAGGGGCCCTCTTTGACAGAGCAGTTTGTGTGCTGATTTGATCCCTTTAATCTTTCCAGTAGAGTTATGCATGAATCATTGCCAAACATTTCAACTACTTCTACTTCAGAGTCATTAAAAAGCGGCAGAGTGTGGATGTGTCACTGAGGAAATCAAATAGCTCCCTTTAGATTAACACCAGTTTTATCAAGATCTTAAGTCAATAAACTCTGAATCCTGCTATTAGTAATGCCTTTCGCTTGAGTCCTGAAGGATCACTGTACTCGAGATGTGTGAGTGGTGAAGTGTGTCAGGGCTTGTATGCGAGTCTCTTTGTGTGGGTGTGTCTCAGTGCGACGAGGCTACAGGTAAAGCTGCACAACACCGCTTGTGAAAAGTACAGTAAGGGTATAGCCACAGGCACTTCAATACATGAAGGGGGAGTTGTTACATAAGACTGCAGGAGTCTGTTGTAATAAGCAAAAATAACGCCAGCTATATATTTTTTAAATAAGAGGCACACAAGGATACATCCTCTTTTTCCAGCAAACATTATAGACTTGGCTTTTCTGTTTGGATTTTGTTGAAA